GAACCCTATGGCAGGCTGTAAATGACTCATCCTTAACTAGGCTATCCACACAATTACGGCATAAGGGCTTTTCTCAAGCTGAACCCAATTTTGCCGCACAAACTGCACATTTCTTCTTAGGGGCCTGACTCTGTGTCTTGTCCTGGGTTTTAACCGATAACAAGCAAGAAACACAATACAGAAGTAATCAACCCGGGGTCCTCATCCAAACACCACTGTGCTGGGGGAGAAAAATGGAAGTGTACCCCACTGTCACCTGCAACTCAGAGAATGGGGAAAAGAAAACCACCCCCAGGAATCAGCAAGAGGGAAACACAAGTCCCCAAGCCTACCTAAGAGGAGCCGGTGCCTGAGGAACAAGGGTCCGCTTGCTGAGAGGGGCCGATGCCTTCCATCCTGTCCCTTGTGGTGTGGTAGCCACAGCCTCTGCTGAGTTTCTCACACCGCACTGGCCGCCTGAGCCTGATGTCTGCGCCGCTGTGGAGAAGACCAGAACCAGGAGTCACCCAGCGTCCACCTATGACGTCACCGCGACTGGAACTTCCGGTGCTTGGAGTGCAGCCGCTCCGCCTCCCGGAAATCACGGCTGCCTGGCAGTCTGTCTGCCTCCAACACCGCTGTGCTTCGGCCGCCACCCGGGGTGAACCGAACCCCCGGGGTTGCAGGGGAGGGATTGGGGGGTGGGGTTTGCATGCCACAAAAGCCTGAAGCTCCATCCCTGTTTTTATGGGCTAGACCAGCAGCACTAGCATCATCGGCGGTCCTCCTCCTCTGAGGACTGGCAGATCACCAGGAGCACAGCCTCACTCCTCTGCAGACATGGAGGGATAGCGCCGGGCAAGAGGAGGTACTGTACTCAAAATAAACAGGAGCCACCAGCACCCCCTTGAGACTAGGGCTCCAAAAAACAGGTTCCTTAGAATTGTACCCGTCCTTCCGCAGGAAACACTAAAAAATTAAGAGGGAGGCCTGGAGGTCCGCCTTTTAGAGTGCTATGCTTATGTGTTTGCTGTACTGGAGGGAGGAGCTCTACGTCTCAAGGGGGCTGTCCTGTCATGTTTTGAGAAAAAAAAAAAAGGACTGCAATGCATGTAGTGTATACCAGCTCTAAGGCTCCATGTACACGAGGGGTTTTTTTCTGCCCCTAGAAGCTAAATGGTGCTATCATATGTGTTCATGCACACTACTTTAGGATATTAGCATTTTTTGAGCTTCAGCGTCTAGGAGCAGAAAAAAAAAAAGTGTTTTTTTGGAGCGTTTTTCCAGCAAAAAAAAAATGCTACACACTCCTAACAGCTTTTTTCTAGCTTCTTTTTTCCTCTACATGTACTGCAAAAACGCTAATAAAACGCTAGCACTCCTAAAGGCGTATGAACACTACTAATAAATGCGATTACCATTGGTTTTTATTCAGGTGCTCCAATCACCTCCATGGCCACAGGTGTATAAGATCAAACACCTAGGCATGCAGACTGCTTCTACAAACATTTGTGAAAGAATGGGTCGCTCTCAGGAGCTCAGTGAATTCAAGCGTGGTACCACGATAAATTGCCACCTGTGCAATAAATCCATCCATGAAATTTCCTTGCTACTAAATATTCCACAGGCAACAGTTAGTGGTATTATAACAAAGTGGAAGCAACTGGGAACAGCAACTCCGCCACGAAGTGGTAGGCCACGTAAAATTATAGAGTGGGGTCAGCGCATGCTGAAGCGCACAGTGTGCGGAAGTTGCCAACTGTCTGCAGCGTCAATAGCTAAAGACCTTCAAACTTTGTGTGGCCTTCAGATTAGCACAACAGTGAGTAGAAAGCTTCATGGAATGGGTTTCCATTGCCGAGAAGCTGCATCCAAGCCTTACATCACCAAGTGCAATGCAAAGCGTCGGATGCAGTGGTGTAAAGCATTCCGCTACTGGACTTTAGAGCAGTGAAGATGTGTTCTCTGGCGTGACGAATCACGCTTCTCTGTCTAGCAATCCGATGGATGTGTCAGGGTTTGGCGGTTGCCAGGAGAACGGTACTTGCTTAACTGCATTGTGCCAAGTGTAAAGCTTGGTGAAGGGGGATTATGGTGTGGGGTTGTTTTTCAGGGGTTGGGCTTGGCCCCTTAGTTCCAGTGAAGAGAACTCTTAAGGTGTCACCACACCAAGACATTTTGGTCAATTTCATGCTCCCAACTTTGTGGAAAAAGTTTAGGGATGGCCCCTTCCTGTTCCAACATGACTGCGCACCAGTGCACAAAGCAAGGTCCATAAGGACATGGATAAGAGAGTCCTGACCTCAACCATATAGAACACCTTTGGGATCAATTAGAGTGGAGACTGCGAACCAGGCCTTCTCTTCTGACATCAGTGCATGACCTCACAAATGCGCTTCTGGAAGAATGGTCAAACATTCCAATAGACACACTCCTAAACCTTGTGGACAACCTTCCTGGAAGAGTTGAAGCTGGTGTAGCTGCAAAGGGTGGGCCAACTCAATAGTGAACTTAACAGACTGTGATGCCATTAAAGCTCATGTGCGTGTAAAGGCAGGTGTCCCAATACTTTTGGCAATATAGTGTGCGTATATTATATAACGATCTATTAGGGATGCACCGAAAATTACCCCTTTCAGCTGTCGGCCAATATGAAAAAAAGCACCGATACAGATGCTGAAAAAACCCCGCCCGCCACCACCCCTTGCCACTCAGTAGTTCTCAGCCTTACCTGAGAAACCGTCTAATGATCCCGGCGCTGGGCATAGACATTAGTGAAGGAAAGATGGCCTCCATTCTATGACAGGAGCGATGTCACTTCCAGTTGCTGCCATTTTTTTTCTTTAAAGCACTACATCAATTCTTTTTTTGATTTAATGCTTTACATTACAAAGGAGAGATGTGGGGTCTTATTGACCCCACATCTCTCCATAAAGAGGACCTGTCACTAATTATTTCAATCACAAGGGATGCATGCATTCCTTGTGATAACAATAAAAGTGATTAATTTTTTTTTTTAAAGGGACAGTGGTGAATGCATACGTAGGCCATGCCCACATATGTAAACAGTGTTCAAGCAACACACATGTGGTATTGCCACGAACGTCAAAGCAACAGTAATAATTCTCTCACTAGACCTCCTCTGTAACTTTACACTACTAACTTGTAGAAATTTTTAAAGCATCACCCATCGAGATTTGTAAGTACCACAGTTTCACGCCATTCCACGAGCGTGCGTAATTTTAAAGCGTGATATGTTGGGTATCGATTTATTCACCGTAATATCCTTTTTCATATTTTACAAAAATATTGGGGTATATATTGTGATTTTTATTTTTTTTTTTTAAATATATATGCATATTTAAAAACTGCGCATTTCAGTTTCGGCTAAATGCACTTTCAATTTTCTTTTTCAGCACCAGAATTTTCATTTCGGTGCACCACTAAAATAAATAAAATATATATATATATATATACATACATACATATATACACACACATATACACACACACATATACATACACACATAGTTAGTCCGGCTGAAAAAAGACAAAAGTCCATCCACTTCAACCATAGAAAAAAAAAAAGTTATAATCCTATACACACAGTTGATCCAGAGGAAGGCAGAAAAAAAATCCAGCAAAGCACGATCCAATTTGCACCTGCTGGGAAAAAAATTCCTTCCTGATCCCCCAAGAGGCAATCGGATATTCCCTGGATCAACTTTACCTATAAATATTAGTATCCAGTTATATTCTGTGTATCCAAGAAAGAATCCAGGCCTTTTTTGAAGCAATCCACTGAGCTGGTCAGAACCAACTCTGGAGGGAGTCTATTCCACATTTTCACAGCTCTCACTGTGAAGAAACCTTTCCGTATTTGGAGATTACATTTCCTTTTCTCCAGACGCAAACAGTGCCCCCTTGTCCTCTGTTCTGATCTCAGGGTGAATAGCTCTACACCGAGTTCACTGATGTATTTATACATGTTGATCATATCCCCCCTTAATCTCCTCTTCTCAAGATAGAATAAATTCAGTTCCTCTAATCTTTCCTCATTGCTGATCTCCTCCATGCCTCGTATCAGTTTAGTTGCCCCTCTCTGTACTTTCTCCAGTTCCCCAATGTTCTTTTTGTGAATTGGTGCCCAAAACTGAACTGCATATTCCAGGATGAGGCTTTACTAATGATTTGTACGGGGGTAATATGATATCTCTCTCTCTGGAGTCTATACCACTTTTAATACGAGAGGATTTTGCTTTCTTTAGAAACTGCAGCTTGGCATTGCATACCATTATTAAGCTTCTGCTCTACCAGAACCCCCAGATCCTTCTCCACCATTGATATATATATATATATATATATATATATATATATAAAAACACAACACACGCACACATGGTCTCTGAGACTAGAGTGATGTGATGGAAAATCATAGGTGGGGAATGTTTCGAAATGGGACAATTGTTCATGCGACAATGAGCATAAGAGTATTTTTTATGCAGCACTATTGTTTTTTGTTTAAACATGAGCAATAAACAAGCATATTCTCTACAGTGCTTATATCCTTAAATACAAATTAAACATGATTCAATAAAGTGTCTTTGTGCTTCAATAAAGTCTCTCCGTGCATATAGTGTCCAAGTGCTTTCAGTTTTCACAGTATAATGCACAATGCCTTCAAACTTATTAAAGTGTCCATGCTCAAAAACGTGCTCCATTTCCAACAATCAGTGCCATTGCGTTCTAGAAATCCTCCACCATAAACACAGAACATTCACCAGATTTATATGACTACCTATCACAGGTGAGTCACACAGAGCTTAGTAACATGGATACCCATCATCAGCCTTCTCTTTCTTGGGTCACCTGCACTCTATCCTTTTAACCACCTCCTGCCCACTATATAGTACAATGATGGGCACAAGGCGGTTCTCTCGTTCTGGGAGGACGTCATATGATGTCGTCCTATTCTAACTGCGCATGTGCGGCTTCGGGAGTGTGCAGCACGGCAATCGGTGGTGCGCTGTGTCCCTCGGACACAGCAGATCACCAATCAACATGAAGAGCCAAAGATGTCGGCTCGGTCATGTGATCAGCTGTGTCCAATCACAGCTGATCACATGTAAATAGGGAAATGCCGGTTATCAGCATTTCTCTCCTCACGAGCTGTCACGCTGACAGCTCGAGAGGAGAGCCGGTAGTTGGCATCCCTCAGAGGGGACATATGCACTGATCATCAGGGCACTGATGATCAGTGTGCCCTGATGATCTGTATAGCCCCAGCAGTGCCACCTGTCAAGTGTCCATCAGTGCCAGCTGTCAGTGCTCATCCATGCCACCTGCCAGTGCCCATCAGTGCCACATCAATGCCACATATCAGTGCCTACCAGTGCACATCAATGCCACGTATCAGTGCCCATCTGAGCTGCCTTTCAGTGTTACCCATCAGTGCCAGTCAGTGCCACCTATCAATGCCAGTCAGTGCCACCTACCAGTGCTGCCAATCAGTGCCACCTATCAGTGTGCATCAGTGGCACCTATCAGTGCCAGTCAGTGCCACCTATCAATGCCGCCTATCAGTGCTGCCTTTCAGTGCACATCAGTGATGCCTGTCAATGCCCATCAGTGCCACCTACCAGTGCCTCATCAGTGCCACCTATCAGTGTCCATCAGTGCAGCCTATCAGTGCCCATCACTGCAGCCTCATTAGCACACATCAGAGAAGGAGAAAAATCACTTATTTACAAAATTTTATAACAAAAACTAAGAAAAAATGTTTGTTTTTCCAAAAATTTCAGTGGTTTTTGGTTAAAGAAAAAATTAAAAAACCCAGAGGTGATTAAATACCACTAAAATAATGCTTTGTCACAAAACAATTATAAAAATTTCATATGGGTACAGTGTTGCATGACCGCGCAATTGTTCACGCTATCCTTTTAAATATCTCACACAACATGTAGGAAGAGATGGAGGGATACTACCATAGTGTGAAATCTTTAAAACCTTTTATTTATTAAAAACCATTTCCACAATGCCCACTCACATTGTTAGGTGTATACCCTTGCACCAGGATAAAAATGCATATTACATCATAAGCATAGGGATAACACAGATCTGGCTCTAGGCTCTCTCACCACCACGTTCTCCTGTATTAACCACTTCTGGTGTCGCTGTGTGGGATGATGTCCCTTCCTTTTAAGCCCCGACGCGGCATTTCGTATTCCTGACTTTCTCAAGAAGCACCATGGAAGACGAAACGCCACAAGTAGTATAGCACTTGGCACAGCAGCTGTAAACTAAGGGATCACATCCAAAGCACTGGTTTACATTATTTAAATTAAGAGAAGATTCTCCTTACTTTGGAATTTTTTTCTCACTTTTTGTTGTGTCTCTGCAAGGGGACACGGCAAACAAAAAAAAAAAAAAAAAAAACAAGAGAAGTTTTAACTATTCCTAACTATATTTAAAAGTAAAATAGGGATTTGGACTCAGAAGTTCACCTTTGATAAAAACATTAATAAATGCATATATTTCAGCAAGAAAAAAAAACATGCATTTATTATTTTTTCCGCAGGAGCCTGCAGAGCATTGCACCTGCGATCAATGGATCATGGGTGCAATGTCAGGCTCCTGCAGACAAGCCCAACAGCTTTTTGTCCATATCTGTGTAAGGGCTGTCAGTTTGAAAACTGCATTGTCCTTGTCGCTCACTGAGAACTACAAGCTATCTGCTGCATTGGCAGACATGACTTGTAGTTTTCTCCGATACCTGTGAATGAATGACATAGCGGTGCAGGCAGAGCCCCACACAGTCTTTCCGTTTTCAAAATGACAGTGAGTGCAAAGAAAGGATCCTTCACCCACTGTCACAGAAAGGGCAATTCTGGCGGCCTAAGCCTTGTGAACAAGAACATGTGACATGTTACACCCTAAATACGGGTGTAACATGCTCCTAAAGGTAAACTTATCCTTTTAATCCGTAATAGGAAAGATCATTGCTTTTATATAGAATAGTCATTTATGATTTGTGAACCTTAGCTAAATATGGATCCAACTGTTTCAGAAACTCACAGAAGAAATCTCCATACAGAGAACAACCATGATTTCTCTGGTCACCCTCGTATCTGCTGTTTGAAAAACTGCTGTGCCAATAGAAATTTATCAGAGAGCAGCATAAACGCCGTGTTGTAAGCGATGGCAAATTTAATTATGTGACAAGACTAGAATATTTTTATGGGAAAACTATGACTTTTACTAATGATAATAATAAGTAATAATACTACTATATTACCTCCATTATCCTGTCATCAGCTCTTAACCTTGCTTTTCTTTCTTCTTCCAGTCTTAGCTGGCATTCCTCCAATGCAACCTTGTCAACAAAAGAAAGACACCTTTAAAACACTGAATTCATGAATTTACAATAATGAAGTAAAGTAGATGCCAAAGTTGTAGGCTCTCTAAAGAAAGGGTCAGACGTACTCAATAACAGTTTCTCAGTCATACACCAGGCAGCAGCTTGTGTTTGGTATACACTAATCCTACACAGCATTTTGTGGTTGAAAGTTTGTAAACTCATTTTTTTCTAATAGCAACAGGTTTCTATCAAGATTACCACCTCTATGGTCCACGTGGATCCAGTTCAACAGCAAAAATTATATGCAGGAAGATTTAGAATTATGATACAAAGCTGTAGGTCTCCCTACTGGGAAAGACAGGTCACCATTCTCAACTGAATACACATGACTGTATACTCAACAAAGGGAGGGCTTGACTTTTCCAATGTAAAAAGCTCAACAATCACATACCAATAGTTATTTAACACTTACTAGCTTACAGTATTTCTAAACAAGGTGGATTGTAAGAGGGTAACCATTCAAAAATAAAACCTCTTTATGGTCAATAATATATTAAATAACTGCAGGATCCACATGTAATTACAATGGTCTTTTAATATGTACGGGTCACTATGGTGGTTGTCCCTATAGTGGTTTTGAGCTAATTTATCTTGGGATTTCACACTGATAATTTTTTCTGAGAAAAAAAAAAAAAAGAGGAAGAAAAAACACATGACCATTAAATCCTATGGAACTTTTCACAATGGTCAGTTGTGGGTCTGTTGCATTTTTCAAAGTCCTGCAAGCTTTTGGTGCATGCTTGGTGCACGCTTCCCCATTGAAATTAATGGAAAACACACCAAAAACAAGGCAAACACGCATCAAAAATGCACCCATGGCTGTCTTTTTGGTACATTTTATGAGTCACATCGTTTTTCCCACAAATGCATCAGAATAGAGGGAAAACATGGCAAAAATGTATGTATGTTTTTACTGCATTTTTGCAATGGAGCAGTGTGAAAGTAGCCTTAATCAAAGTCACTCTCCTGAATACAATTTCTAGAATATCCCTAACAAACGTAACCCACTTGACTGTCAAACTTTAACAAGTACCAACACACTGTATTTTACGATGTCTCAAATCAATCTATGTTGACGCATATATAGACTATTTTTTTCTTGGATAGGCTTATGAGTAAATAGGAGACCCTGTCATTTCCCTATAGCTTTGTTATCGGTTTTTCAAATTTTTCATGCAATAATTTCTTTACAACAGTCTTATTTTTAGCAAATTGACTTCCCTACAAAAGTCTGCCTCGCCTGAACAGTTATGCCTCAGTTGTAGGTACTGATTATATAAAATAGTCTTGACTACAGTGTGTGCAATGCCGTCATGTAGGATTGTGTTGTCAGCATGAGGTTGTCAGGTTTTCAATAGAAAGCACTTGCTAATCATGTACATAAATTTGAGTGTCCAAGAAAGAAATCCTACTCTGCTTACAAGTCATAGTAAGCTTTAAGTTACGATTAGAATTCAGACAATTCAAAAATTATTGTAATTCCTCTCATTGACCAGCCCACATAATGAATTTGTTGTCATGTGTCATAACACATTATGAACCATGTATGAAAAAAGGTACTTTTTAAATGTGGATCCTGTAGTTTTAAGAAATATGTTGTTGACCAAAAAGAGGTTTTATTTCTGGAGGGTGACCTTTTTACAGTACTTCTAAACACTATGAAGACCATAGGACAAGTGAGTCTTAAATATAGATTATGTGATTGTGTAAGCGTATTTGTTGGAAAAAAGCACCCTTTTTTGTATTGCATATACAATCAAGTGTATTCCCAAGGACAAATGGTGACATGTATTATGTGTTTTTTTAATATTAATTTGGCAACAGTGTGTGTAGGTGATAATATGTAGGTTATGTAAAATAGTGATGGTGATGTTAATGGGATTGCCAAGAAATTGTATTTTGCTTTTAATAAGTTTTCCCTGCGATCACACATATTTTTCTATGACATGTCTGGTTGCATGAAAGGGACAGTATGGATGCAATAAAGTTCTAACTAATCTCTCCTAGTATCCTTGCCTTGGGGGGGTTTAGAGTGGGATGGAGAATCTATGTGGAGTCTTTGTTCAATTTTTGTTGTTCCACTGTTGCCTCTCCCTTCTATCTGTCGAATGGTGTTCCCCTTGTATGCAGGTCATTCTTTCGTGGGTGAGAGTAGTCTTGCTAAGCATGGAGAATTGTTTATCTCCAACATAAAGGCTGCACTATGCTCCTGGAGTGCAGCTCTACAGTGCAACATCACCGTTCCACACCATGTTATCATGGCTGTGAATAGCATGGGGTGGGGCTTGGGAGAATGGTGGTGGGGGGTTAAGGAGATGTCAGTCTAAATGATGTTTCTGTTCTGGAAGGATGTTTTGAGGGAGCCCAATTTGCAACCTTTCATGGAAGCCATGCTGCAAAATACGGTATATTTCCTATGGGCCCTATATTTTAACATGAAGGCCATACTGATGCATCATTATCTATGTTTTTACAAGTTTATAATATAACTAAATTACTTCTATCATTAAACTTTAGAAATATGGTTCCGTACTAAGGTGGTCTTTGATGTGTTAAGAAATTTACTTTTGGTATTATTTTGCCACCGACTGCATATATATATATGCGGCCTCACTGAAGCTTCTTCCGTGAGGCTGCATATACACTATATTGCCAAAAGTATTGGGACTCCTGTCTTTACACGCATATGCATACACCCAGTCTTAGTCTGTAGGGTTCAACTGTGAGTTGGCCCACCCCTTGCAGCTATGAGTACAGTGTTGCATGACCGCACAATTGTAATGTAAAATGCAACAACGCTGAAAGGTGAAAATTGGCATAGACAGAAAGGGGGTAAACGTCCCGGTAGGCAAGTGGTTATTATTTGGTGAAACACCCCTTGGAAAAAATAACAAATCAATTGCTTCCTGTAACCAGCAATGAGTTTCATACACCTCTCTACTGGAATCGTAGACCACTCTTTTGCCAACTGCTCCAGGTCTCTCAGATTGGAAGGGTTCCTTTTCCCAAACTGCTGTTTTGAGATCTTTCCACAGGTGCTCTATGGGATTGAGATCTGGAATCATTGCTGGCCAGTTCAGTACTCTCCAGCGCTTCATCTTAAACCATTTCTGGGTGCTTTTTGACGTGTGCGGTGAGCCAGGCCTTCTCGTCAGACATCAGTGCCTGACCTCACAAATGTGCTTCTGGAAGAATGGTCAAACATTCCCATAGACACACTCCTAAACCTTGTGGACAGCCTTCCCAGAAGAGTTGAAGCTGTTATAGCTGCAAAGGGTGGGCCAACTCAATATTGGACCCTATCAACTAAGACTGGGGTGCCAATAAAGTTCATGTGCACGTAAAGGCAGGCGTCCCAATACTTTTGACAATATAGTGTATGTGGTATTGCTTCAATCACCAGGGGTGTAAGTAAGTTTATGACATTTTTGTGATAGCTGAAAACATTGCTGCACTTGATTCCATTATACTTATGTACTGTATATATCTGTGAAACTTCAGATATCTCTTCTGTATCCCGTGAAGAAGTGGACCTTTGGTCTACAGAAACGAACAGAATATTGATATTTTTCTTATACAGTCCTGGAGACAAGGAATCTTAGTTAAGGCTAGGAGGTATTCAATACCTGTTTTAAGGCTTTGATACTTTTTTTTTTTTTTTTTTTTTTTGTTAACTATACTTGATGCCTCCACATATTTTATACATGTGTTTTAACTTTGTAATAAATTAAACAAAAAGGCTTTGACTGACATTTTTGTAATTTTGTAATTTCTTAACTAGTTCAGCCCTGAAAGGTTTCCCCCCTTCCAGACTAGGTAACTTTTTGCTATTTCGCACTGCACTACTTCAACTGGTAATTTCATGGTAATGCAACGCTGTACCCAATCTAAATTTATGTACTTTTACACACAAATAGAGTGTTCTATCTGATCACCACTGGGTTTTTTTATTTTTTGTGATATAACCGAAAAAAGACCAAACATTTTGAGAAAAACCTATATTTTCTACTTTCTGTAATAAAAAAAATATCCAATAAACTCTAATTTATTCATACATTTAGGCCAGAATGTAGTCTGCTACATGTCTTTGGTGTAAAAAAAAATCCCAATACGTGTGTATTAATTGGTTTGTGCAAACGTGCTACAAACTTTGGGTATATATATTGGAATTTATGCAGTTTTTACTTTCTGATTGCCTATCCCCCAAATGACCCCATTCTGGGAAGTAGACACCCCAAGGAATTTGCCAAGAGGCATGTTGAGTCCATGGAAGATTTTAATTTTTGCCACAAATTTTTGGACACAAAGTTGTCACTTATATTGCTCACACACACCACAGGAATATGTGGATTAACACTCCAAAACATATTCTGCTACTTCTCCTGAGTATGGGGATACCACATGTGAGACCTTTTGGCAGCCTAGCCACATACAGGCCCCCAATATCCAACTACCACCTTCAGGCTTTCAAAGGGCATATTTCCTCATGTCATTTCCTCACTACCTATCACAGTTTTGGAGGCCCTAAAATGCCAGGATTGAAGGACAAGACTCCACCTGACCAAGTTCCCTTCACCAACAATGTATCCAGAACTCCTCCCCAGCCCAGTAGACTGGCATCTGTCATGAGGCTGTTCCAAAGGATGAAAAGGAAGGAATTCCCAGATACCTGAGCAACCAAGCCAAGGACAATCTGGTCCTCGATGCCAAATGAATTGGTCTGTCCAGAAACTGGTCCCACAATGACAAACTATTGCATTGGGCTTGTAGAGGTCTGGAAAAGGTGATAATTATACAACTCCTGAACTGGAAAGATCAGTCAAAAAAGACTGTGAAGTTGTGCAGTGCAGTAGGGGCATGTGACTCACTAGAGTGGCTGCACAAAATTACAAATCTTTAACAGGTGTATTTAGCTGAATAGTCCATTAAGTATAAACATATATGTTTGAAAAAAAAGTTTATTTACTAAAGATACCTTACCTGCAAACGTTTGTAGTTTATAGCATTCCTCTTGTTAGGCACCCCAGGTCTATCAATAAAAAGGTCTGCAGAGCCCTCAGATTCATCGCTGTCACAGGAGGTCTCACTATCCACAGACACTTTTACTGGACTACCTGTCTAATAAAACAAAATATAGAAACATCTTATAAAAGGCATGTGTAAATTTTAAACATAACAAAGGCTACAGCTCATGAAATGTACTCAAGACTGTTTTTAAAAAATATTTATACAGTCATGGCCGAAATTGTTGGCACCCTTGATATTTTTCCTGAAAATCAAGTATTTCACACAAAAAAGGTATTGCATTAACACATGTTTTGCTATACACATGTTTATTCCCTTTGTTGTATTGGAACAAATATAAAACAGAGGCAGAAAAGCAAATATGACATAATGTCACACAAAACCCCAAAAATGGGCTGGACAAAAGTATTGGCACCCTTAACTTAATATTTGGTTGCACACCCTTTGGAAAACATAACTGAAATCAGTCGCTTCCTATAACCATCAATAAGCTTCTCTGACACCTCTCACCCGGAATTTTGGACCACTCTTCCTTTGCAAACAGCTCCAGGTCTCTCTTATTGGAAGAACCTTTTCCCAACAGCAATTTTAAGATCTCTCCACAGGTGTTCAATGGGATTTAGATCTGGGCTCATTGCTGGCCACTTCAGAACTCTCCAGCGCTTCTTTGCCATCCATTTCTGAGTGCTTTTTGACGTATGTTTGGGGTCATTGTCCTGCTGGAAGACCCAGGATCTTGGACGCAAACCCAGCTTTCTGACACTGGGCCCTACAGTGCGACCCAAAATCCTTTGGTAATCCTCAGATTTCATGATGCCTTGCACACAGTCAAGGCACCCAGTGCCAGAGGCAGCAAAACAACCCAAATACATCATTGAACCTCCACCATATTTTACCGTAGGTACTGTGTTTTGTTCTTTGTAGGCCTCATTCCGTTTTCGGTAAACAGTAGAATGATGTGCTTTACCGAAAAGCTCTATCTTGGTCTCATCTGTCCACAAGACGTTTTCCCAGAAGGCTTTTGGCTTACTCAAGTACATTTTGGCAAACTGTAGTCTTGCTTTTTTATGTCTCTGTGTCAGCAGTGGGGTCCTCCTGGGTTCTCCTGCCATAGCGTTTCATTTCATTTAAATGTCGACGGATAGTTCGCGCTGACACTGATGCTCCCTGAGCCTGCAGGGACAGCTTGAATGTCTTTGGAACATGTTTGGGGCTGCTTATCCACCATCCGGACTATTCTGCGTTGCAATCTTTCATCAATTTTCCTCATCCGTCCACGACCAGGGAGAGATTAGCTACAGTGCCATGGGTTGCAAACTTCTTGATAATGTTGCGCACTGTGGACAAAGGCAAATCTAGTTCTCTGGAGATGGACTTGTAACCTTGAGATTGTTGATATTTTGCCACAATTTTGGTTCTCAGGTCCTCAGACAGTTCTCGTCTCCTCTTTCTGTTGTCCATGCTTAGTGTGGAACACAATGCAAAGGTTAAGTGAACGTCTCTCCTTTTTATCTGCTTTCAGGTGTGATTTCTATATTGCCCACACCTGTTACTTGCCCCAGGTGAGTTTACAGGAGCATCACATGCTTGTAACATTCTTATTTATCCGCAGTTGTGAAAGGGTGCCAATACTTTTGTCCAGCCCATTTTTGGAGGTTTTGTGTGACATTATGTCGAATTTGCTTTCTTTCCTCCCTTTTTTTGTTTTGTCCCAATACACACAAAGGGAATAAACATGTGTATAGCAAAACATGTGTTAATGCAATATACGTTTCGTGAGAAATACATGATTTCCTGGAGAAATATCAAGGGTGCCAACAATTTCGGCCATGACTGTATATACAGTATTTTTTTAAATTACTTTGTATTAAACAAGGGAGGCCTATAGGGTTTAAACAATCTTTTACTAACCATCTGAACATACACGTGATGAATAAATTCAGCCAAACTATTATGCTATGGCATTTTCAGACCAACACTGTATATAAACCAACAAAAATTTTATTTTTGTACATACTTTCAATTTCTTGAAGCCATTAACTCTTTTGCTGCCAGAACCATTTTTGCATTTTTTTTTTGCACACGTTTAAAAAATCATTTTATGCCTGAAGATTATACAAAACCCCCAAAACATGATATGTATGAAAGCAGACACCCTAGAGCAGTGATGGGAACCATTTAGAGACCGAGTGCCCAAACTGCAACCCAAAACCAACTTATTTATCGCAAAGTGCCAACACTGCAATAAAACTGACAAATACTGAGGTTTTAGTTTAGCGAAAACAACCAATATATTAACATCTTTTGTCTTAAAAGAAAAACAAAATAACAGAGCTTCCACTGACCACCAGAACAAGGGGGCAAAGTTCCACTGATCACCAACACAAGGGAGCAAAGTTCCACTGATCACCAGCACAAGGGAGCAAAGTTCCACTGACCCCAGCACAAGCTAAAATGTTGTGTTAAAAAAAAAAACATATATAAATGTATTAAAACTCACAGCCATGTGAAGGCTCGGAAAGTCATAGCTATATATATATATATATTTATATAAGGCAACGCACTGGCCGGCGGCTTGAATCACCTCTTGTGCGACAAGTGCATAGCTAATGAGTTGCGGCTTGTGACATCACCTGGCGCCCACTACTCCTTTCCGAAGATGCGCATGGCCCCTATATGTGTGCTGTTATCCGATGCTCAGCTGCTGGGGTGACTTGACTCGCGTGCTGACAGAGGGCTCTGCGTGCCTGCTGCAGCATGCATGCCATAGGTTCGCCACCACTGCCCTAGAGAATAAAATTGGTAGTTCCAATTTTTTTTATACACATGTCACACGATATTATTGCAAAGGTCTTGCAAACAAACAAAATTTCAGTAAAAATCAGACAAGTAAATTTTAGTGCAAATGAATACAAAATTACCCAAATTTTTGGTAAAATATAAAAGACAAGGTTGTGCCGAGTAATGAGATACCAAACATGCCAAACCTTAAATTTGTGTGCACCTATGAAATTGTGTCAAACTTCAGTACCCTATATTATCTGTAGACTACGCTTCAAAAGCCCTTACAGGTCATGAGTTTAGCGTTATGAAGGAGATCTGGTGCTAGAATTATTGCGGTCTCTCAGGTATGCACGACAATATGTAACATGTGTATTGCTAGCGACGTTTTCGTGCGTAGGCGCCCCGACATGTGCATTTAAATTCATACATGCATATGTGGGGGTGGATGGGGCCTCAAAATTTTTTTTTTTGGGGGGGGGGTCATGTGCTTGAGTGCAACTTTTTTTAACAAAAAAAAGTTTTTTTGGTTTTTACTTAACTTTTTTCCCATCACATAGGGGACACAAAGTCCTCTATGTGATTATTATTTGGTGACAGGTTCTCTTTATTGAGACATGCAGGGTCTTTTAGACCGTGCATGTCTCCTCTGGGCTCCATTAGATGTATTGCAATGCGGTTTGCATTGCAATACATCTTTACCCAGCTATTCCAGTCAGAAAAGTGACAAGAAGTGACGTTATGGACATGGTCACACAAAAAAGGGAAGGGGAGCAGACACTCGTCTGCTCTCCTCTCTCTCCCCTGCACCTGCCAGCACCTGCTATAGCTCTCGGACCTGGCAGCGAAAGGGTTCAGAGACAAAGGAATTTAAAGGGTACCTCCACTTTTGTTGTGAAAAAAAAAAAATTCCCCTCTGGGTGATCTATGTACATTGCAAGGATTTGAACAAACTTTGCTGCAGAGTCCTACCTTTTATCAAACAGATGTTTGTTTGTCGGCGTCCGTGTATGGGAGTGGTTTTATAATTATCAGTCTGGTGCTGCACCTGCAGGGCTCTAATCTGGCAGAGCCTGCATCCTTTTAGATTTGAATTCCCATAGGGAAAATTACATTTTTTTGCAAGGGATGGCAAAAATTTGACTTGTATCTTAGTGCAGACTTCTGGGAAATATCAGTAAGCCAATCACTCAAGCAGGAAATTAAATTTTTAGGGGGTGTTCTGTACATATTCTGTGTACAGAACACCTCCAGGTAGCCATATTTCATTTTACAGAAAATTACAGCACTGCAGATAGAAAAGGAAAGGTAATTTTTAGTAACATTCAATTACAATATGATATGATTTGAGTCACAATTGTAAATTCTTTTTTTTTGGTAATTTTTTTCCACGAAAGTGGAGTTACCCTTTAAGTAAAGGCCTGTGGGATAAAAGAGAGTGCACCTGAATGCCTGAGAAGGAAACTACCCAGTAGGATGCACTGTCAGCATCCTCCATGTAGAAGTGTGGAAGCTCCTTCATACAGAAGGTTTTTCAGAGGAATTAGCTGACCTCTACATGCGAGCGTCATGGGCTGAGCCAAGCTCAGAGGACTTGGAGAGCAGTGGAATTCAGTCAGCCTCTCTCTAGACCTATCTACGCTGGGGCAAGAGCAAGCTCTGGCCTCCCATGACATTACTGATCACTATATTCAGTGCAGAGCTGAAGACGATGTTCTTTGAAGGCCAACTGACTCTCTTTGGATAGGTCATCAGCATTCCATCAGGCATAACCAGAGTGCCCTATGCATCTGTATTAATGAGACCCCTGCAAGATATACAATATGTGTAGATGCTCTCAACAAGTTATCACAACTGAGTGCACCAGAGCTCAGGGTAGATCATTTTGATGGGATCTAACCAAATCTGACATGGTCTGACAGATTCTAACACAGGATGAAGAGCAGAACCAGACAGTTCAAACTGGGATTTGAGGAGGGATTCTAACTGTGTCAGTAGAATTTTTAAGAGGTAAGCACAGCTTGCACCTTCCAAAACATCCTAAGTGAATGTGGAGGTCCCGGAATACAGGGAAGGTGGCTCAGCCCCAAATGATAGAGCTAAGGAATACTCTAAAGAAGAAGTCAACCCTATAACTATAGGGATACAGGGTTCTAGATTACAGGATACAGAGTAGACACACCTAGAACCACTAGAGAAGCATGGGTCCGGGTCATGCAAACCATCCCTCGTTGTCCATCTGCGGACATATTGAACCTAAGTAAAGGTAATGCAATTAGGCCCAAAGTGTGAGATAAGGCCTCAGTTACAAA